CAAGTCCTTAGGTTGACAAATTCTCATCAACCTTGGTGAAAACGTTGGCTGTGAAAGGTGGAGTCGGAGGCAGCCTGGACAGATGGGCTCCTGCAAGGGGACACCAAGCCCCGCTCCACGGCCTGCTCCGCCTCAGGGTGGGGACGCCACAACGCCTTCTGCACACGGAGGCCCGGCCACCTCTGCAGCACGAGCCCACGTGCTGTGAGCTCAGGGAGAGCAGCACATGAGCCACGACAGGCAGGTGGCTTCGATTCTGATTGCATCCATGAGTGACACCACTAGCAGTGTTGTTGACAGAAAACCGTGTCCTCGAGAATGTATTTTCAACATTGAGTCATCGAAAGTTAAAGATGAAGGGTGACAAACATGGAAGATGAAACACAGGTTCCAGATGAGAATTCTGGTGAAACTGCGTTTGTGTGGGAAAAGTTGCATCTAGCATGAGGGGGGTGCAGCTTTTACACAGACACGTGTCGTACCGACGGAGTTGCTGAGATTCCTGATGAATCTATCCTGTGCCTACCGCCTTTTCTTTACGTGGTAGTGGTTCCTCTTTTGGAGTGTAGTTTCAAGTAACTTTGAGAATGAAGTCTTTGTAGCCATGCTGTTCAACAGCGTGACTATTGTTGTGTGTTCCAGCGGGGGACAGATAGTCGTTGCAGTACTTTCATTGTATGGCCTCTCAATATGTGACAAGGACTTTTATTCAGAATCCCTTTTTTAAAAAATGTGCTTTAGGAGTTTCTCCCCTCCCCATGCCCAATCAGCAATTGCCATAGTTTAAAAAAGAAGATTTAAGTGAACTTTTATTATTTTCTTAGCTTACAGTATAGACAAAAATCTTATTTTTATAAACTGTTTTGAAATATTTATATTTTAGAGTTGTAAAAAAATGTAGCGAGGATAAAAATTCACACAACTTGACATCTAATTGGGCCCAGGGTATACATACATACATACATGTAAAAATAAGGTTGAAGCAGTAATGGAAGTAATTGTTCCAAAGATATTTGTTCCTCATCCCAGAAAAAATAATGAACATGCAAAATAGATAAATGTAATCCTTTGTACTTTTGCCACCTACATTTTTTAACTACAGAGACTGATTTCTCTAGAAAGGTCAGAGGTTTTGGACAGAAAGCTCTGTAATTCTTCAAAGAGAGACGATTTCAGATGTGCTTTATGAAGACTGATTACTCATATCTTTTGACTCCGCTGCGGTTGTGCCCAGGAGGGACTGCGTGGGCCTTGTCCCGAGACAGACGGGTGGAGCTGGGCTGGGGGTGGACCGGGCCGGGACGTGGTCCCATGTATCTGGCTGTCTTCTGCTGGATTGCTTAGTGGGAAGTAGGGGGAGAATCCTTGGCAGTTCGTTTTGCTTTGTTACCAGGTCTGTTCTGTTACCAGCTCTTTGAATGCTTTGGGCATCTCAAGGAGCCTGCACACCTGAGTGCCATTTCTTAGACTTGGCTTTGTTGGGTTTGGAAATCGTGGATATGGATTTCTCTGGTTTTCTGTGGATTTGTTGTTATTTCCCTTTTGACTTCTCTAAGCTGGGGAGAATTTTTCATGGGGCAGTTGGGAGAGTAGAGAAGGTAGAAAACTTCCATTGTGGGTTTCTTTCCTCCAGGAAACAGAACTGGAGAGCACCAGTGACTCATTTCAGTCACCAAGTGGCAGTGCCAACATTTAAACCAAAGTCCTCAGATCCCAGGCGTGTGCTCTTGCAGTATAATATTTAAATTATGTCTTCATAGGCATCCTTACCTCTTCATATAAATCTGGGGCCTTTAAGGTGAGTGTTGTGCAAGTGAGGAGCAGGCGGAGGAGGGTCCTGGTTGTATGGTTCAGACGTGGTCTGCTGTGACCTGTCTCTGTCTCCAGGTTGTCCCCAGTGTGAGACTTGAAGCTTCAAAGTTTATGGATGAGCTCAAAGTGTTCTCTGGAACTGCACGATAATGTAGAAAGCCAGTTTTTCCTCTGAAGTTTACCAAGTCATGATAAACTGGAGCCTTTTCTCCACATCTGCATTCCTACCTCGAAGGAAATGGAGAAGCCACAACCGCCCTTTGTAGTTGAGAAGACAGAGCGCCTCATCCGGGCAGCTGGACGGCGAGCCCTCGTCAGTGGAGAGCAGCTGTGGCTGTCAGTGTCCGCACCAAAGTGGACACTCCCTGGTTGGTGCAGGCATAGGAGATCTGTCTTGGCTGCCTGTGTGACAAGTTCTCCCAGGTCACTGGATTCCATTCATCAGACTTCGTGGGCGCGTGTGTGCGCGTGTGCGTGTGTGCGTGTGTGTGTGTGCGTGTGCGCGCGCGCGCGTGTTTGCTACCTCTTCTATCCTGATGGTTCCAAAGGAGCAAAACGGAAGAAAATGCCATGACATGAGACAAGGGGATCTTAGAGGAAATTTCCTCAGAAATTAAGATTTTAAAGGAAGAGATGGAGGGGAGGCAGGAGGGAGGGAAGGAGATGTAAAGGGAGGGGATGTGTCGTGTCCCTGAGGAAAGTCATCATTATGTGTGCAACCTGCACTCATAAAAATTAAAAAAGGAAAAAACCTCAAACAAACAAACAGTTGGAAATCTCTTTGCAAAGAAAGAAAAGAAAATTAGGTCCTTTCTGTCCAATAGGCCGTGGGAAGTTTTGAACATTTGTAGAACAGGTTGTTTATGTTTTTTTTAATCACATAGTCAGTGTCTGATGAGCGACTCTACCATTCGCCTGTCGAGTGCTTAGGTTTCAGCTTTTATGTCAGAAATGCCTTTGTATGTGTTCAGAGAACCCAGGTGGACAGGATGCGGGTGCTTTCCATTACCTGAGCGCTCACACTGGCGTGTGTTCTCTGAAGAAAGCGGGCCAGCTCCAGAAAAGTTCTGTTCCCTTGTTTAGAAGGACATCCTTCTAGTAATGCTGAAGAATAAAACAAATGGAGTCACAGGAAAACCAAGCAGCGGGAGCATGTGAGAGGGAAAACAGAAAGGAATGGAGGCCTTGGACACAGGCTGCTGGAATTTGCCAGCGGTGAGTGGAGGATCCGAAAACACAGCCAAATCCAGGAGCGGAGCTGCTTTCGTTCCCTGCTCTGCTCCCGGGGAGGAGGCAGGCTGTCTCGAGCCTTCAAGGTGGATCTTAAGTTTCCAGAGGAAGGGGCTGCTGGGCTTTTCTCTTCCTCTGGTTAGAGAACTGGGCAGATGCATGTTACACTCGAGGGTGAGGGCAGGTCCCGTGTAAGTGTGTTAGCGGGATGGCGTGAAGCCCTGGGGAAAGTGTGCGGGAGGACAGCAGAGAGAAACCAGTGCGGGCTGGTCAGCGGGGCAGCAGCAGCAGGGACAGTAGTCAGGGGGCTGGAGAGTGTGTGCTGTCCTAGCTGCGCATGGTTCAATATGAAAGTGAAATCGTTTCTGGGGCCATGGATGTGTTTTTCTGTGCATAGAGCACAGAGCCAGCGATTTGTTCTATAATTATTTTCTGAAAGCAGAGCGTATGTGTGCAGCATTTGAGAAATGGCCTGAGATTGTCATAGAAACTCATCCCGAGCACTGTAAATAAGAATGGTGGGGATTCGTCACAGTTACATGTGGGCATCATGAAACCCAAGATGCGTTTCTTTGTTTAACAGTCGGTGAGAGGAGGAGGCAAACTTGATCTGGTCCCCAGGATGAAGCCGCTTCATCTCTGGACCCTGAACCGCCTGTGCCAGAGAGCAGAACACACCTGATGATTTGAGGACTCTCTGGCATTATTTTAGGAGTGTCCTGTTTCCAAGTAACAAAAGTTGGAAAAGTTGAAAGTCTCTGTTTATGCTGCTGGTCTTCAGGCCTTCCCTCCCTTGGCTCGTGATTCTGAATAGCATTGTTTCGGCTCTGGCTGTAGTCTGTCCTCTTTCTGCTCCCCTTTCTTTATGTAACACGAATAGAACTGAACGTGTTGATGATGAACAGCCTTCTTAAGTGTGCACGTGTGTATATTTATTGTTATTATCATTTTGTGGTGCTGGGGATGGAACCCAGGGCCTTCCCACTGGGCCACAACCCCCCTTTTTAAAAATTCAAAACAGGGTCTTGCTGAGTCACTGGGTTCCCCAGGCTGGGCTCAAACTGGAGATCTTCCTGCCTCTGCCTCTCACACTGCTGGAATTAAAGGTGTGTGCCACCCCAGCTGGCCTGTTACATGGTTTTAATTATATACTTTCAGGTTAGAATTGAATCTGTGGTAATGGTATTAATGCCCTTTGTCTGGAAGGAAATTGAGTATTCTTGCCATTGAACTCCGTTGGCTTCTGGAAACAGGCCTCCTGTCTTGAAGGTGGAGCTGCCCCACCTGATGGCCACCCGGTGGCGTCCCTGTAGCTGGGTGGGTCTTGGTTCTTTGGACTGGAGCGGGTGCAGGTTCGGCAGGAGCCCTGCACCTGGTTTGAGGTTCCGCGCCCCCTGTAGGCAGCGCCGTAGACGCGGCAGTGACCGCATGCGGTGGACGGGTGGAGGCCAGGGTGGAGGGTCGGGCCGTTTGGTGTCGAGTCAGCAGTGAACACAGCTTGCGTCCAGCCCGGAGAGGGGAGCTGGGAGGGAGCGCCGACAAGGCTCAGGGAGGCCCCCGGGCTCCTCCAGGCCCCCGCCCCGACGTGGCCTCTGACGCAAGGCACACGTTGTTGTCTTCTTTGTTGCGCTGCCGCTCCTGCCTGTCCTCGCCTGCCTTCACGGGGCTGTGCCTCTCATCCTCCAAGGGGGTCATCGCCGCCTCAGAGGAGTTGCTTCTGGCCGCAGCTTGCCCAGTCTGGCCCTGCGGGTGGTCGCGCTGGGAGCTGCCCACAGTGTGGCGCCCCGGTGGTCCGTCTGTCCGTCCGCCCGTCCATCTGCAGCGACCCTGCTGCGGCTCCCGAGAGGCTGCCTGGGAGGGCCTGGCGCCTGGTGCGCCCGCCTGCTGCACCAGGGGAGTCTGAGGCTGGGGAGCGCGTAAAGGGCCCCCAGGCGCTCACCCCGGGACTGAAGGTCAGCCTTCTCAGCCAGAAGCATTCTCTTCTCCCCTTGTCACGTTCGCTGTTTCTTCTGTTTCTTCACTAAGACCCAGTTTCGTATGATCCCAAAGGGCTAGTGACACGGGGCTTCCTGCCATTCCGAAAGGAAGGTTTGCTGATGCCGGACTTGCTGACGTTACTTGGGCTATTTGCTTTTCCTTCTAAGGTCCTGGCCTCGACTTTTATCTGAATCTTTCACCCAGAAAAGACACGCGTGGGGCGTGGGGTGACGCGGCCCTGCTGTCCCGCAGCTGTGAGGAAGTGGTTTCTTCGTCAGGTCTCTCCTGTGTGCTAGGAATGTGGCTGAGAGGAGGAAAAAGTGTTCGTGCCGCTGAATTTTCAGAGAGCACCATTTTGGTTCTAAACAGAGCTTTTCCCGCAGGGGGATGCGCTGGGGGTCTCGTTGGTTTTGAATCGCATTCGCCTTGCTGTGTGGGAAGGGGCACCCGCCTGCCCTCATCTCTCCGGACTGAGTTTGCTGTCTTGGGCACCTCGGTCAGCATGTAGCACTGTGGTGGTGTGCGGTCCCTCATCCCGAGGCCTCTGAGAGGACAAAGACAGCCTTGTGTGGCAAAGCTCTATGTCAGAATCAAGGTGGCCGAACTCCCTGGCTTCCTCTCCTGTCCAGTGCTCTGCTGTCACTAAGCTGTTAGGCCGACTTCATTGGCTCCAAAACGCACTGGCATATGTAAATCTCCTTTGATTGGAGACCTATTGATTATAGGTAACATAAGCCTCTGGAAGGGGCACAGAGCTCAAGTGAAGCGAAAAGTTTCCTCCCGACACATACAGCATTCCTGATTTCATTTTTCTGGCCGTGTTCCTCATCAAAACCACTGCACTCAGACTTTCTCAAAAAATTGTTTCTGCCTGGTCCTGTTTTCATATCAAAAAAGCCCCTGTGGTTTCAGCCAAGGGTAAGGAAAGCATTTGGACAAAACTTGTGTTTTCTTTAAAATGACGAGAAACAAAAAATTATAAAATCATGTGAAAATTATTTGCTTTAGAGGCTGCAAATACGTGCTTTTGTGTTCTTATAGACTGCTAAACAGCAGGCTGTGACCCTGCCCTCCAGTGACCACTCACCAGACACTTCGGTGGGGCAGACGACCCGGCAGGGAACGTTTCCTGGCCTTCAGGTTGTGTCTCCCAGCTGCGGAGCCAGGGCTCGGCCTGGGCTTGGCAGGTGGCGCAGGCGTGGCTGGGGGTGGGATCCCGGCTCCTGGCTTGGATCATTGTGGTAGAGCACTTTGGAGCAGCCAGACCGGGGCTTTGTGTCTTCCCATGTGTCTTGCAGTCAGTCCATCGGTAAGGGTGCCGTAAGAGTCTTTGTAGGTGTGGTAGATTTTCATGCATTAACTCAAAAATTATCTTTAAATGACAAAAATGCTAGTGAGTTATTGAAGAGGTGAGTATCTTTTTTATTTCCTAAAATTAAACCAAAAAATTATGTGTACTGTATAAAATTTGAATTACGGAGTATCTAATTTTGTTTATTCTGTAATGGATTCTTGATCTCCAAACGAAGAAGAGGATGGAAGTATAGTCTCCTGGTGGAAAGCAGCGACTGCCTTGCTGTGCCTGCGGCTTTGGCAGCGAACCCCCAGCCTTTCTGGGGCGCCCGTCTGTGCTGTTTGGGTGGCTGGTCAGACACATCTTGGGCCATAGTGACCCTGTGTTCAGATGCACACTTGTGGGCGTGATCTCGACCAGTGGAGTAACTTTGTATCAGCAGCAGACTGCTTATCAGCGAAATTCCAACTCCTTTAATTATTGCTCAATTCTCTGATTGTATTTTTGTATCTGAGAGATGATTGCCTTCTAGCTTGTTGAAACATATGTGTGTGTGTGTAACAGTCTATACACATATTGAAATATATGTATTATGTAGTAGTATGTATATTTTATATATGTCTATAATTGCCCAGGTCTTTACAACACACCTGGCCAATCCTTCCTGTCCTAGCCCCCTTCCAAGAGAGGTTTATTTTAAACCAAACAAAATCAGGACATGAAACAGACTTTAAAGACTGGAGGTTGTTTTTCCCACTCAGGACAGTGTTTAGAGTATTGCTACATATACTTAGCTTATTGTTGTTTCTTGTTGTATGATACTGCATGGTGCAGTGGGTACATAGACTGTTTCCAGTTTCTTGCTATTAACAAGCATGGAAAACTAATGTCTTTTGCAATATGTAAAGTGTAATACCTCTTTTTATAGATGTGGAACATGTATGTAAGAGTTTCTTTAGGATCTACACCTACGAGTAGAATGGCTGAATCATAAGGCCCTGTAGATGTTAAGGTTTTAAAAAAAGATAGTGATTTTATCTTCCTAAGTGGTTGTACCAGTTTACCGTGTGCTAAAAATCCTGCTACTCTCAGTATCCTGTGCTTTTGGCCAATGTAGAGACTATAAAATGATATTTTACTGTAATCCTAATTAGCAGTTCTGATTTGATTTTTAATGAGTTGAACAGCTTTTTGTGTATGTACGAGCAACTCACTTTCTTCTTCTATGAAATAAATGTTCTTGTCTTTTACCCATTTTTTTGATGTTGCTACGGATCCTCTCCCTGTTGATTGGTAGGAGTTTTTAATAGATCCTTGATCCTAATCCTTTGGCAGCTATATATTTGCAAATATCTTTTCATAGTTTGTGTCTTGTCTCTTTATTTTCTTCCTTATCTTTGACTCAAAGAATTTTAATTTTAATATAATAAAATTTATCAGTCCTTCATTTCATGGCTAGTCCAGTTGTGTCCTAATCTTCTTTACCTCCAAGTCAGGCATATATGGTTCTTTTTGTGTGTTCTCTAAGGGTTCCTTTCACATTTCAGTCTGTGTTGCACCTGGCATTCATTTCTGTGTATGGCATGAGGTAGAGATCTGGTCTCATTTTTCTGTAGGAATGAATATTTTTCACTGCATGATTTGCTGAATCATTTCTCTTCCTCAAGCAATTTTCAGGACCACCTCTGTCGATTGCAAAGCTTCAACATTTGTGTGGGTATCTTTCTGAATTCTGGCTTGTTCTGTTGATGAGCTTGTCCACCTTGTACCAGCCCTGTTGTTCCAGGCCCTAAACTCTGTCAGCCAGTCCTGACCTCTGAGAAGGCAAATCTGTAACTCTTCCCCTTTTCAGAAGTATTTTTAGTTATCCTTGGCTCTTTACTATTCCAGGTATATTGCAGGATCTTTTTGTCAGATTGCATGGAAAGCCCTGTTGGGACTTGGTCTACTCATGTGTTGAATCTATGGGTGAGGGAAATTGGCATCTTTTTTTACTGTCAGGTTTTGTTATCTATGAACATGGTATGTCTCTGAGTGTATTTTGATCTTATATATTACACTGAATTTTTTTCACCCAGGTCTTGAAGACTTTTTTGGAAGCTGCTTTTGTAAATTGCATTTTAAAAGTTATATTTTAACTATTGTTTCTAGTATAGAAATAGTTTATTTTTTGTGTGTAGTGATCTTTTATCCAACTGTGTTTGCATTTATGTATTTTAGGCAGTAATTTCCTTATAAGTTCTTTTGTGTTTTCTGTGTAATTGTATCAGATGCAAACAGTGGCATTTTCATTGCTCTTCTTCCAGTTTTCATGCTTCTGTTTGCCTTACCCTTTCACAGCACTGTGTGTGAGAGCCTCCTGTTTAGTGTTGGGATGCCCACCTGTGATCATGGGCATCCTGGACTCCTTTCCTAGCTTTCCTGTTAATTTTCAGCCACGAATGAGACTAATGTAATGTCTGACTGTTTAAATTTTAATTTTGCTCATCACGTTTTAATTGGATAAAGAGCAGGTCTTACCTGCATTTTTTGATTTCCCCCTCATTTTTCTAACTATGGTATCCTCTGGTCTGTGGGACAAGTAATTGAAACCTCAAATTCTCCTGTCAAATGACTGTATGGCAAGTGATATAGTGTGTATTAATTAAGGGTAAGTGGTGTTTTTAAGAATGTAGTCATTTAAAATTTCAAAATAAGAGGCTCGTTGGTATGCAGTGATCGTTTTAGGCATTCAGGGAAGAGAGGAACCATATTTTACATTGACTTTTTTGATATTCTGTTGTATGGATCAGTCTCTGGAGTTTTGATTAAACTTTAGAAACCTTGAGTATCATTTTTTAAAAAAACAACTTAAAAGGTCTGGTCTGGACAGGTTGTTTTTTCCTTTTTCTTATGCAATTTTTGTTAAGATTGAAATAGATGACTTCCACTCTTGTGAGCAGACTGCAGGAAGACAACTATTAAAAGTAGAGAGCTATTAAACAGTCAGGGGTTTATTATGCTTTAGTGTTTTGTTTAAGTCTGTTCTTAATTGGTTGATTAATGTGCGAGAAGTCCTTTTCCCCCTCCATCTCTACAGATGGCGAATGGTAGGTCCCAACTGTCATTGTTCGCAAAAAAGGTTATGGTTCAAAGTCAAAGATTCAGAGATACCACAATAATCAATCATAGGAACTTGTCTCTGTGTGCCCAGCCAGGCAAAAGTTAGGCAGAGTGGTAGTATTTACTCAGAATCCCTTAGGAATTTTTTTTGGTGCATTCTTGATTTTATTTAGAAGAGATTATTTAATTAATTGAAATGTCTTTCTGAATTTAGTGTCAGCCATTTAAATAAATATGAAAAATAATGGTAAACAGGTTTTCTGTTTATTATATCAAATATTGCTGGATATAGTTTTAAAATGAGTGTAACACAGAAAGTATCATTCTCAATAGATTGGGATTAACATTTAAACTTCCAGCGGGATACCTTTTTACTATGTTCATATGAAGGTGATTCATAATGGTTAACTTCCTTTTTAGGAGGAAGAATAGAATTATGTTCTGGTATTGATCCACAAGAGGATTTGCATTTTATTCGTGCTATAAAAGTGCCTTTAATGGAGACATTGTGGTAATTGAATCTATACAGTGCATCAGGATCAAACTATCTTTTTAATTATTTTGTTATGTAATTTAGTAACTAAATTTAAGTCATGAGAAAGGGGATGATTATATTATATCTTTGAGGTATAATGTATAGCCTTAATGTTCTTAAGGTAGACAGCAGTTAAGGACATTCTTGAGAGAGAGAGAGAGAGAGAGAGGGGAAGAGCACTCCAGAGCGAGCAGGCAGGTAGAGAGGGCTCCATTACATTCAGCACAGTATGGAACTAAGTCAGAGGAGTTTTGTTAATTAAATTCAGTTGCCATCCATTAGACCAGTGGGACGAGATGGCTGCCTGGCGCTGACGCAGCACAGGTAGGCAATTTGGCTAAATGGCCATTTCTAAACTATAGCACACATTTCTCTACTTGTTCATTTTTTTTAAAGTGAGAGTTTTTACTCTTAAAAAGTCAAAGAGTTAACCATTGCTTACTAAAGGGTAAAGGTATCATTTTTTGTGCAGTCTCTTGAGAAGCAATTAGTTTGTTGGCATGGAAATGTATAGTTCACATGGAAATTATTTGGAATAAAATGATTTTTTTAAAAATGCAGTATCTGCAGGCAAGTCTACTAATAAAATACAAACATATATATATATATCAGTATAGACAGATGTATACTTAAAAATTGTAGCTATCTTTTAATCTAAAGCTCTGTGAGTCATAATTATTCTTTGAATTTTTTTAAGCACCCTAGAAGCCATAATTACAATCTGTATATATAATTGGGAGAAGTTACAGTAATTGTGGGAGGTATAAAAATGAAATTTAGGTAGTGGGATAGTGTGTCTACATTTTGGCATAAGTCACTGCTTTTAGAGGCTTTATATGTCAGACTGATAAGTTTCTTACCATGGTGAAATGACAAGAATACCACTCAGGCATTGGCTGAGACATAATTTTGACAGCCAGCAAGTTTTCAGTGTTGCTGAGTGCACAGATTTCCACTTCCTGCCAAGATTAAAATTGGCAAAAACCAAAAAGGATATTAGGGATTGTCACTTTAAGAAGAAATAACACGGGTATGTGCTGCCTTTGCTGAAGAAATAGAAGGGTGATCACTTGAACCTTCCTGTGTTGCAGCCTCTGAGTTTGCAATCAATAGAAGAGTTTGATGAGGGTGAGGATCACATACTAAATAAGTTCTCTGACATGTGTGAGCATTAGACTCGGTGTGGTTTCACTGAGTGGACGTAACTTTTTTCCTTCACTGTAAGAAGAACTCCTCACAAAAGCTGTCAGAGTTTTCTCTAGTCCCTGAAAAACAAAGGCCTACTCTAAGTTTGTGGATGTGAAGACTGAACACTTGCTTGCTTTACTTCCTGAATTTTTGCATTTTTTCCTGTGTGAGCAGATGGTTTTTCTTTTTGCAAGTTACCAGGTCTTTCCTGTAACAGTAACCATCATGATTGAGAGCCCTACTGTGCGTCGGGTCCATGCCCAGCAAGCACATTGGGATGCTTTTTTTCTTCCTCAGGAGTTCTTATTTAAATTTAGCCATCAAAATGAGGGGAAGTATGACCCCCGTGTGGTGAAGGAGTCAGGCCGAAGTCTGCTTATGGCTTTGGAAGCAGCTGTGGATGTCCAGGCACAGAGGGGATGGGGGAACCGTCGCGTGAGGGGCACTTCCAGCCTGGGTGCTGCAGACAGGCCGACTGTTGTGCGCCCTATTAAATACTGCCAGTATGATTAATTTAGAGGGTTACATTTTATTGAACCCTGGTGTCGACATTCTTTGTCAGCCCCCATTCACAGCTAGTTAGAGTGTGTGCCCGCGTTTATCAGAACTTTCTGGAGCCCTCTCCTCATTAGCATCTGAATCTGTATTCAGCAGTTAATGTCCCTTCCTGCTAGAGTGCTTCATTCTTGTTTTCAATAAGCCAGTTGTAAAATGTCAGACTGTCACTTACAATATAAAAAACCAAAAATGATGGTATTTGTAAAAATGTTATCACCTCATAAAAACAAATTGTAAAGACATGAAAGTGATCTTGCTATGCGGCTTTCAGAAGTGAGTTAGTGCAGTTACTCTAAATACCAGTTGTGTAGATTCCCACACTTTTTAACCAATGGAGAGGTTTACACAAGCATAATTTAAGTTACAATTGCACTAATTAACATCTCATTTGCATAAATTGTTGAAGTCAAAACAACAAAGAATTGTCTAAGAAGCTTAATCCTATTTGTCCAAAATAGAAAGTTTTTTTTTAAAGACATGTTCTAAAAATTGGCAGCTTGGGTATGTCTTTAGTATGTTGAGCTGTGCCATTTTTAAAATAAATGCATTCAATTTGTTTAAGAGCATATTTTTCTATTCTTTTCAGAATCCTCCAGTTTTTGTATGCTTTCAGAATAAGAAACAAACATGAGACACGTTGGACTCTAAATTAGTGCTAACAAAAAGTTAAAACCAAGGTACAGTATCATTTATGTGCAGTGGCACACAGTGACTGCCAGGATGCAGAAGAGCTCACAGTGAAGGCCTTGCCTGTGTGTGTGTGTGCGTGTGTGTGTGCGTGTGTGTGTCTGTGTGGAGAGAGAATGGAGGAGTTTGTACACTTAATGGTGCTCAATGTTTGGAGTATTTGCTGGGCTCGTCAGATTACGCAGGTGTTTTCGGGTCTTATATTTATTTTCTTGTTGTTGGAGATTAGAAGGATACTGGAGGGTGGTCAAGTGGCTCACATCTCCATGGAGGAGAGAAAGAAGTCTGAATGCCTCGGAGGGCTTCCTGCTTAGACAGTGAGTTCCTTGGCTGACTTGGTCCACTCCCTTCTTCGTTCAGACTCTTCCACTTCAGGGATGTGTTTGCATCCAGGGGTTGAAGGCGTTTTCTTAGCAGCCCACAGACTGTGGTCCTTACCTTGCAGGGCTGTGCTCCTCAGGCGGCACTGCTGCCACTCACCTTGCACGGTTCACAGTCTGTGGAAACAAAATGTCACCTCAGCACTTAGTAACTGTGGGTTAAGGAACTGAGTTAATTCCTTAGTTTATTATAGTATGTCCAGTGTTTTATGGGTCCTAAAAATAGAACGAGATCAGAAATATTGGAAATGAAATTTTCTCTTTAAAACTATGCACCTTTCGAAAGCACATCATTTATAGTAGTTTATTTACTTACTGTAATATATTTTTTAATTTGGCCTTATAAGATTTATAAATGATTGTCTTTGTAATAACGAGGAGCTTACATGTTTGTAGTGGGCACTGCTTCTGTGCGAGCCACCCCGGTCTGGCGTTGTCATTGTTGAGGCCCTCACACCTTCTTGGGGATGTGTGGGTGCCACAGAGAAGGTGCTCCGAAGGGACCCAGAGAGCCCGTGGGGAGGCTGGAGAAAGTTGTGGGTGGAAGGGTTGCCTGGAGTTGGAGGCCGGCGGGGGTGAGACATTGTCCAGCTGGAGAGCAGCTGCGGGACGCAGAGTTGCACGGGGCCTGGGTGTTCCTGGACGCGCCTGGCAGGACGACTCCCTGGGGCCTTGGGAGAGAGAGGAAGTGGACAGAGGAACGGGAGCAGTGGCCTTCTAGGTCACCGGCACACGGGGCAAGTTAGGGGCTTCTGTTTCCTAGGTGCGGAGAGATGTGACATGCACAGTAGCACCTAAGAAAGGGCAGGAGTGCTTCTGAAAACATCCGTGGCCTCCGCTGCTCAGTGGTACTTAAAAAGACAAATGTTTGTATTCCCTTTTATCTTTAACAGTGATAACGAGGTATGTGTTCAGAAATATCTGTATGAAGAAAATAATGTTCTCTTTCTCCTTTCAAAGGAAAATGATTTCCAGATTATTTTCCCTTCTATTTCTCAAAATGTTGACTTTGAAGAGAGAGTTTTAAGCAGGGGATGTGGTAGAACCTGGCCTCGGATGTTGGGAGGGTTGAGTCCGGGTTCCAAGCACAGAACCAGAAAGAAAAAGGGAGAACATTTAAAAAATGTTAAGAGAGAAGCACACATGTCTTGTTTCTTTCGAGCATGGCCGAACTGTTCCATTGTCAATATTTGATCTTTATTGGAAGCTGGGTCATGTTAGAATCAGGCAGGAGAGCCCTGGACTTGCCTTCTTATCTCTCAGAGGCTGATCTTTGATGAGGCAGAGGTGCTGCGCATGCTTGCCTTTATCACTCCCCTTGTCACTTTGCTGTTTGCCTTGTTCATAGTGTGTTACCTGAGGAAGCCTTCCCGAGAGAAGGACAGATTTGGGCCCTGACACCCTGCTTTGGGTATTTTGATGGAATCAGGAGGAGGCTGAATGCTGTGCTCAGACAAGAGGCTGCCACTCCCAGGCATAAACGGAAGCCCTCCTTCAGGCACTCGGCAAATACACTCTGATTGTGCCCAGAAATAGCCACTTGGTCACACTGGCAGAGAGCAACAGGGAGGACCAGTGGTGCCTGCCATCCTCCCTCTGCATGCTCATGGTGGGCTTATCCGGCAGAGGCTAGGAGGGAGACCCCTGTGGCAGGCGTGGGGCCAGCCAGGAGCCCTGTGGCCGGGTGAGGTGTGCCCGTGTGAACAGGGAGGTCGTGGCGGAGGCTGTGAGGGAGCAGCAGCCGGGCAGGGCCAGTGCCCAGCCTCGCCGGCGTCGCTGTGTCAGGACAGGTGTGTCAGGAGGAGGTGGCTGCGCTTCTGTGCCCACACTGGTACCCGCAGGCGCTCGCTGCCAGCCGTTGAGCAAGGCGCCTGACTGAGGAGCTCACCCGTTCTCCATGGGCAAAGTTGAAAGTGTTTGTCCAGCAGCTTTTTCTCCAAAGAGGGAAAAGGTCCTCGTGCGGCACCTCTGACCCAGTATCCCTTGGCATGATTGGAGTTTGGCTGAAGTGTGTGTTTAAAATCTCACATTCCCCAGCCGAGTTTATAGTCTGAAACCCTAGAAGCTGAAAGGTGGTGGCGGCACCAGGGTCTCCCGCCCCTGCCCTCTGTCCCTGCACCCAGGCCGCCTTCTCTCCAGGGCCGTGGGGGGAGAGTCTGCTGCATCGTATCATGTGCCCTGTTCCGGAGTTCCTTCTGGTTCCTCCAGGAGAATTCACGTCTGAACCCATTTCTGCTCGTCCTAGGGCTCCCCAGCTATGTCAGTTTAATGGAACAAGAGCCAAGTCCGAATTAGAGATAATCCCAGGGCAGATGACCCTGTGACTTTCAGTGGGATTGTCTTAGGGTTGGAGGAAGCTCTGGAGTAGCCCCAGCTCCAGAGTGAGACCCCTGTGAATTACTCACAGCAGCTAGAGACTGCCCGGGTACCTCGGCCCCGCCAGTGCCGGTATAGATGACCCAAAGGTAAGGGCTTTTCCTAACTGCGCCTATGCAGACAGTATAGCTGTTAGGAAGTTTGGACCACCTCAGTGAAGAACAGAGTTAGCCCTGGCGCTTCCTAGCAGGAATGAGGTTTTTTGAACTTGATAAACACAGCGGTTGCTCAGGCGTCTTCTGATAGGTGAAGTGGTTTTCTGATGCAGTGCGCCTGGCATGCATCTTCTCTACGGCCTATTATCTTGTGGGAATGACATTCGTTAGGCTCGGTCTGTGTACCTCCCACCGAAATGAAGAACATTTCAGCCACAGAGTGAATCGCATCTCGTCGTCAGACTCTAGAAATAAATTATCAAGGATGACTGCAGGGATGGGGCTGTTTGCTTGTCAGATCGCTTGAGAGCACAGTTAAGTGAGCCTCCCATTTTCCCGAGTCCTAATTCTCACTCCAGACATCTGTGTGGGAGCTTTCTAAGCCATGGAGTATTCTAAATGAATGTTTTGTTAAATGGATGAAGGAAGACTGAGTTTTCCACTGTTAGGTGAAAACTAATTAAAAATTAAATAATGACCTTGTGTTGGCTTGTAAATTCCTTATTTCCTGCATGTGACTGTATTTTGTTAGAACATTCCATTTTAAAGCATGCTTTTTTATGACAAGAAGCACTTTACAAATACTTTTTGCTTTTGACATTGCCACAGGTATCAAAGGCCAGTTCCTTGGTGTCAGTGGACGTTCTTAGAAGTGCGTGGTTTTGTGAACTGTACTTCATGGGAATGTAGAATTATTTTAATTCTTCTACCTCAGCCTGTTTAGTAGGACTGCACCCGCGAGGGTGGTAAAACGAGGCACCACTGTTAGTGTTACACTAGAAATTCTTCATACACTTAATAGATGAAAGCCTTTTCTCTTACAGGCTCGATTTCTTAGCAGACTTCTGCTGCATTAATGTGGCTCACTTCTGTTCTTGTTCACGGAGGTTGTGGTGACGGAAGTAACAGGAGAGGGACCCCCCCCCAAGAGAAGGGTATGTGTGATGAGTCACCGAATTGAGATTCAGGCTTCACCCTGTCTTCCTGATGCCATTTTTGCTTCCTGAGAGTTTAAGTTCTTATGTTTAGGAACTAATTTCTCTCTACTCTAATACTTGGTTTCAAGTTTATAATAATGTTAGAACAGAAAGAAATGTGAATTCATGGGTCGGCATAGTTTTTATGTTAATGTAACAATATAGCACATATATAATTTTGTGTTTTCCTTTTCTTTAATTTTTTTGGCAGACATAGCTTGAAGTTTTAAAAGTAGTCACCATGTACTTCACTAGTGATGGTCACTCAGTAATTTATGCCTGTCATTAGGTGTCCACCTTTTGGATATATTATGAGATATCTCCTGCCATAGGCGACCTTCATGATGGAAGTGTGTGACGTGGCCTCTGTCCTCAAGGCAAGAACTCGACAGCCCTGGTGGTTGTTCTGGCGGCTTCTGAGAGGTGGAAGTGGTTCAGTCTCAGTGTGAAAGCAGACAGCAGCCCAGATCCACGGGCACAAAGGGAACCTTCTCCTGGCTGAAAGAAGGGGCTCAGCATCGCGTCATCACACGGGGAAGCTGATGAGGAAGAGTCATTCCTCATGTGCTGTATTCAGTTGCTAGGCTTTAGGTGGTTTAGGTGTTCAGCTCCACTGTCCTGGGAGAGAACATGGGACACAGGGCCCCACTCTCTGGAGGTGATGGTTTGTGCCAGGAAATGGCTTAAAGCTGAGTAAAGAGAATGAGTTTTGCATACTGCTGGGTGTGGTGGTGCATGCCTGTGATCCCAGCACTCCAGAGGCAAAGGCAGGAGGATATCAAGTTTGAGCCCAGCCTGGGCAACGTACTGACCTAATAAGACCCTGTCTGCAAATGAAAAGTTAAAAAAGAGAGGCTGGAAATGTAGCTCAGTGTGAAGACCTTAGGTTTAATTTCTAGTACTGGGAAAAAATTTCTGCATATGATAAGTCTCTAAAGCAAATAAAGAGCAACAGACATTAATTGAGGAGACTTGCTTTAGAGGGAGAGGGCAGTGAGGAGGCTTCCAAGCCAAAGACCCAGGGCAAAAGACTTGAAGAGGGTGTGTGTGTCTCCCGGGACTGAAGAAGGCAGGCGTACGGCAGGACAGCAGGGCAGCGGGG